CGGGGGCGGGGAACATAAAACCTGCCCCCGCCCCGCCCCGTTGCCATGCCTACTGCAAAGTCTTTTAAAATCCGCAGGATATTTTTTAACTAAAAAAGTCCTTTAAAATCCTAATCCAATACACCCTCCTTATTGTTTCTTTTCATCAATTAATATTATGAAAATAATCATCTCTAAATTTATTCCATCAAGAGAAAGAGTAGAACTTTTCAGAAGGTGGGTCCTTAATTATAATGAATCTCATTTATCTTTAAATGATCGACAGTTTTCGACAAAGACTAATCACCACTTTTAATAGTAGATACTTATAATAATAGATACTTAGTACCAATACTATAGTTAAAAAAAAAAAAAAAGGATTCACAATGATGAATTTGAAATGAATTATATTTTGTATTCTCAGGAATAGATTTAAGAAATCAAGAAGAAATAGAGTCTATTTGGATACAAATTTAAAAATATTTTTAAGAATACCTAATAGAAATCGTTCTTTATTTTTTATAAAGAAGCTTAATTTTAAAAGCACTTCTAACTTGTCTTCAAACAAGCTTGTGGTCTCTTATCCTATACACAAGCAAGGACCCATAAATAATATGGCAAGATTAAAAGAAAAATCTCTCTTTTTATATTTTGTTATTAAAAGACAATAATTTTATTTATCAAATCAAGGATAAAGGCTTAATACATATCCCAATAGTGTCCACAAATATCTAACATGAGTACTGTACGCAGTACACAGGGTCAATCTTGATATTTTATAAGCCCTAAGCAAAATGATAAATATGAAACTTTATATATTTTTTTGATAACAATATTATTGGTATATTTATCTGTTTTATTACAAAACCTAATTGATTTCCCGATACCTTATTTAGAAAGACCATGTCCAGTATCATCAATCTACAATTTGTTGATTTGAACTCTTATATATAAACATTTATAGCATAAAAACAGATGCATGATTTAATTAAAAATAACATATTTTGTTACATGAAATAAACAACACAACGTTAATAAATATAAAAGAAATATATTATATTTTTTTACTTCAAATTATTTTTATATTATTTTTTATTATAAAACATTATATAAATAAATTTGAAGATAAAAAATGATTCATCTCCAAATTAAAATGATTAAAATAGGATAAAATTTTGAAGGAATAGAATCAAACTTAAAAAAAATTATAGAGACTAAAAATATATTTTACTCTTTAATAAATATAATACATAAAAAAAATAATGATAAAAAAACAGGTGTTTAAAATCATATGTAAATTTATATTTAGATGTAAAAAAGAAATATATAAGAGATAATTTTTTTTAAAAGTAATATAAAAAATATCTCAAAATTATATAATTTTTTAAAAGAAATTGGACCCTCTTAATATCCTGAGGACGGGCAACCTGCCGTACATATATAAGGTATATGGAGTACGGATACGTATCCACTGTACGAGTTTTAGGAATACTGAGGCTTCATATATATTAGGATCCAAGAGGACTCTATATTATTATATTTTTTATTGATACATTTAAGAGCCACCAAGAACATAGAAGTAATGAAATTATGAAAATCAACGATGCATAATTGTAAAACTATTTGGCTTTTATTTAAACATACGTGGCAATAATGGGATCCCAGAACCTTTCTGTATTGTCCATTCTTCTTAATTGGAGGAGGAATATGATGATCAAGATCAAGGTCAAGTATTTTCACAAATTCATATTTGTTGCATCTGTTAGCTATATATATTCATGAAGATGACGCTACACTGTACTAATTAAGGCCACAATAAATTTTGGACCTTTCACAATTTCTAAACTTGCACGCTAAGGCAAATGCACTGCCATAACATTTCCCTTTCCATTGAGATGCAACTAGCTAACAATGTCACCGTTAATAATGACTCAATCAATATCCAGTTCAATGTTTACACATTTTTCCTCGATTTCTCTCATTTCTGATCCTTAGTCTGTGAGTTCAACCGATTTTTATGACTTTGATTTCCCAGTCAAGTATTATACACCAGATATATCATGAAATTAATATTTCATGAAGGACTAAATGACAAATATGATAAAATTCTTTGCAAGACAGAGTCCTAACCTATACATAACTTTGATTTATTGAATTTATTTTCTCCAATAGCCAAACAATTTTGGCACTAAAACTGCAATTTGAATTATCAATTTGCCCTTCAGATTTTTTTTTTTGTGTTTATTATTCTGAAATTAGGGGCATTATTGTGAAATTATTATTTCTGACCAGGGTAGACAAGTTGACCATACAAAACTCAACTTTTTTGTTATTTGTACAAGCATGTTTGGTGATTTTCTCATTCCTTTTTCTGCTTCCTAAGTGGGTGAAGGAAGTTCAAATAAGAGCTGCACCTTTCTGCTCAACAGAGAACTACGAGAAAGAGTGACAGAGGAAAATGAAATATTCACCACTTTGGTATGGATTCTGGCTTTTTCTTTTTTTGTTTTCGTTGATGAGATTGTAATTTAAATGCTCTAGTGTTGCTTCTTTTCTCAGCTTTTTGGTGGCCTAAGCAGAAGTTCCATTGTAGTTCCTCACTTTATGGTAGAGTTTCTTCCTCCATTGGGAAAAAAGAGGTATCTGTTTCTTTCTTACTCTCCTGATATATTTTTTATTCTCTTGAAGGTATGAAGGATTCACAGAAAATGTGTTTCTATTGGGCGTTGTTCAAAAGTGAAGTTACATGTGTGAGGCTTGGTTTTGGTCTCTTCTTTTTTGCTTAGTTCATGTAGAATACATGTTATTGGGATAATACTTGTCTCAATTGGATCATAGTGATGGTTTCTCTAAATCAAAATCTTTAAGAATTTAAGATTCAGATAAAATGAGTGGAAAATGAAATGTTTAAGCAATGCATAGCCTTCGATCATACTTCTTAGCCAACCAAACTGTCGCTTCTAAACTTGATGCTGCATAATCTCTGCAGCCAATCTATTTTCTTATTTCCTTTTTGCATTTGAATTTCTCCATGGTAGAAATTCTGTGATTAAGTGGAGTTTTTCTTCTCCATTTTCTTTGGCTATTCTTAAGGTGAAGAAACCTACTAAAAATTAAATAACCAAATTGATCAAAGTGAATAGCTCTCTGTTCGGCTTTGCTTTGGCTCACCCTAATGTTTTGAAATCTCTTAGAAAGGAAAGAAAATGTTAGAAACCCAAAATGTATCAGAAATTGAATAACTTCATCTCTACTTGTCAGATCATCAAACCACCAAAGCTATGGAAGGAATATTTGTCAAACAAAGTATTGTCTTCATAGGAATATCGAAAGAATCTACTTTCTATTTTACCTTTTAGAAGCAGATATTGACATGAAACTTTGCTTAGTCCAAGGTTATTAAGATTTTATTTTAGCCAATAAAAAAGCTAGGAAGTCAGGGTTGTCAAATATTCCTTTCATAGTTGTGTCAATTGATGATGACATGATGGTGTATCACCAGTATACATGGAATATGTTTTGAACTTGGCATGCCATCAATTATTCCACTGCTTTCATTCAAGAAAGAAAAACAAATATAACCAAACATTAAAATAGTGACAACCAAAGAACCCAACTGTTAATAAGTTGGTTACATTAGCAATTTATAAAATAACATATAATCTACTGATTGACATATGATTTTTTTAAAAACAATAACGACAGCAAGATTAAAATTTGAGACTGTACATAATATTCAAACACTTTACTACTGAGCTGACCCTAATGGTTGGCGTTTGATATCTTGAGTTAGAGGATGCAGAGAATGTGAGAAATAGGGTGTCTTGGTGAACTAATGGTTCACTGATTGGAACATGGTGACATGTAGTTGTAATGTCAAAACAGGTTGTCCATTAAGGGGATACAGAAAATCGATTATTGAGTTGATCAGTTCCAAGAAGAAGAAACCAAATAACAGAATCAAGTAGGTCCAATTATGTTTCCTTAGTTTGCTTCCATGCATGTTACATATCTTGGGACTTTTGTGCAATAGGACTACGGCATTGGTACGGTAGGAATAAAGCCAAATACATGCATCTCAAGACATCCTTAGCCTATGTCCATCTTTGTTTCCTAACCAAATACCTCGATTATTTATTCCCAGTTGGTACTAAGCTATGTTTCTAACGTTTTCAGTTTTGAGGCTTGCTCAAATAAGGGACCTCTTAGCAGATCATAAGTTAACACAATTAGGCCAATTATGTGATGTTACAAGATTTATATTTCAACTTATGAATCATATAGATATTGCTGTGATGTCGGACGAGAAGTGGCGATTCTCATGACCTTCGCGTTGGGACTTTGATAATAAATTCAATGTTTACTTAGAGTGTTTGTAAAGTGAGAAATATGTTGGGCATCTGGGTGGTTCTTAGCACACATTTTTCACAATGGTGAGATATTATTGTATTTAGACATCATTCAAAAGGCCTCTAATCAATGGAGACAATTATATTTATATAAATTTATGTTCATCTTCTTATTTGAATAATGTGAGATTTTACTTGTACCACCGTTCCATCGAGAACTCACAATAGTAAGACACGCTTCCTAACCATCCATGTTACCAAGAGGACTCTTCTCCATATATGGATCTACACCTTTAGGAAGACTTTCAATATAAAGAATCTTATACACATATCCACCTGTCAACTCTATTATACTCACTAAGTCAGTTACCTAGTTAGACCATTGACTCTTAAATAATTATTCTTAAAAGTAGTATGAGACAGACCTTTTAAGATCGAGTATATAAAAATTGATCTTAAGATCGGTTAAAATTTAACCAATCTTAAAAATGGTAATATTATTTACAAAAATATCACCGCGTTACTTTTAAGATCGATTCTCTCTTAGCTGATCTTAAAATCTCAATTTTAAACTTGATTTTTGCACTAGTGATAATGATATTTAGTATTTTTATATTTTTCTTCTTAATTTAAGGCTACCTCAAGGATAAATTCTCCTAGATATTTAATGTGAATCTTATTTCTCTATCATTTGTTGGATGCTAAACCTTTGGAGACTATGATCTATTATCAAACTATAAACATAATGTAATACAAGAAATGTGGTTGAATTGTAGTTTAGAAGGTTCTCACAAATCCTTCTTGAAAGACAATATTTCTTCTCTCATCATATGATCCAAAAACCTCAAATTAAAATTGTTTTAGTTTTTTTTTATCAAACATTTTTATAAAGACAAATGGTTGAGACACAATGTCAGTTGGTATATGAAGATAAAGTACAAAGATAAAACATACAATAATTTGCAAGGAGTTACTACGATATCTTTGTAAATTAGAATGTTTTAGTACAACTAATTTTTAAAATTAATAAAAATGATATAAAATATTTTTTTTTCACTTTCATTTTTTTTCGTCTACATTAAGTGATGTGTTCTTAACAAACACATGATCTATATAATTAACTTACTATTTCTTTTCATCAAATATTGGTCTAAGTGTTTTAAATCGTTTTGTAAAAATTAAAATAACTTTGAGAAGAACCAATAAGATTTTATTTTGTGAATTTGAGGGAGATTTTGTAAATTTTTTATTCAATTTGCTCCTTATAATTTATATGCAAGTATAAAAAAATTTCAATTTATAATGACTCACAATAATCAAAAATGTATTTACTAAATCCAAACATTTTGTATATATATTAAGAATTTTTAGAAAATATATATTGAAATGAAAAATATAAACATGTTAAAAATTAAAACAATTAAATCAAATGGTCAATTTTTTTTTTTTAAAGTTCCAAAATCCTTTAAATATATAAGGGTACTGTAGAATTTCTTTAATTTGTATTGGTTCATTTCTACCTTGAGAAGCTACATATAATTTTTTGTCACCAAGTTCTACTATAATTTTTCAAGTTATAAGTATTTTTTCCCCAAACCTTTTCAAGCTCTACTATAGTAATCTTTTACTTGCCTCTTCATGAAATTAACTCAAGGATTCTTTGTAAAAAAAAAATATATAAAAAAATTTAGGTTTCGACCAAAATCACTTAAATATTGATAAGGGTAAAGTTAACTTACTAGTTCATGGGGTGTATTGCATCAGTTAAGCATTCTACGTTGAGTTGGCTAATGACTTCTCTAGATGAAATATTTTTTCTTGGAAAGTGTTAATTACATCTCACTTAATTAGTAAGTGTAGCTCCTTTAATAGTTTTTTTCCAAATTAAATTCTTTTTTCAAAATATATTATGATACACATTTATCCCTCCTCCTCATCCCCTCCCTCATCTTCTTTGCGCCTTTCCTTGTCATCGTGCACTTTGATTAGTTAATTGATAAATTTAGTCTCTCATTCTAATATTTTATGTGTAACAACCTATCTTGGTCACTATATTTATGGATCAATCACCTCAAACATCTAAGGTTAACATATTCACATCACCTAGATATATGCACAAATATATATATATATATATGTGTGTGTGTGTGTGTGTGTGTGTGTGTGTGTGTGTGGTTAACATATTCACATCACCTAGATATATGCACAAATATATATATGCACAAATATATATATATATGTGTGTGTGTGTGTGTGTGTGTGAAAATAAAAATCCTAAGTCATCAGTCAAGCGACGTCTATATAAGACCACTCCAAAAGTAGTAACTACATCAATCTACATGCCATCAACATGGCTCCACATGACATCCTTCATCTTTAGCTAACCCTAGCCTCCTCTCATGAAAATCATGATCATCATAGTCCCACCACCATCAAAACAAGTAAGGGTAAGCTAGATTTCAAAAACTTACAAATATGGAAGAAAATATTTGTACTATACATCAACATGTAAACAAGACACACAACAGTTCATGGTTCACATTATACAGTAGTCAACATGTTTGAAAGCTACACTCCAAACATTTAAACTCACACCACAACCATATCATACAATAAGATATTCACCCAATGCATATAAACAACACCAATCAACAACACATAATATGCAAAAACCTCAAGTAATGTGTCCTTACACATTCACTTATGAAGATCTCATAACACACCAAGTGGCTTAACCCTACCGAATCAAGTCAATCGTTTTCACGCTTAATGTGTTGACTAGATCGACAACTAAAATAAAATACCAATCCTTCATCTGATTTCTCAAGTGTTGTCACTTATACTAAAAAAGACTAGTTCCACCATTAGGACTAGTATAATTTAGTAGGTGTACTACGAACTTGACATGCATTACCAAGTCACTTATGAAATTAGTCTACTAATTATCCTCAAGGAACCATACAACCTTTACAATAATCAATTAAGGGTTGTAGCCCTTGACATCATACTTTACACCACATTAACTAAGGACGTAGAAGTGACTCAACAAATCCACTCTAAGAGTTTCACACTTACTCAATGAGGGTTTTCAACAACTGGTCTCTCAAAATGCATAACAAGATTTCCTACATGAGATTTTCAACTTTCAACAAAACATCATCTTCTCTAATCCTATGTCAATCAACATGTTTGAATGCCCACAACATTCTTAGCATCAACAACTCAACATACATCATCTATATACATTACCCCAAGTGAACGTATATAGAGATTAAATCACACCAATTATATATAGCACACAAATGTTTAACAACTCATTCAAGAATAACATACCAATGCCTATCAATAGTTCAACCATACAAGTATAACATCCCAATCATACATAATATATCAATGCTCATCACCAATTTCAACAATACAAGTATAGCTTACCAGTGCTTATCATCATCATGCATCATACAACATGCAGTGGACACAAGTATTATATTCATGTTCACCATGTTCACCCATCATACAATATGTATCAACATACAACTTATTACAATCAACTATCGTACAATGACAACTTTCACATAAAATATCACATAGAGTTATACAACATTTACCAAACTCATCCTTATCTCATGAAATATATATAAGAAGATTTTCTAAAACTCTTATGAAGATCTCAAGTTCACTACAAGAAAAACGCAAATTTTCGATGGACATAATTCGTCGGTAAAAAGGAATGTACATCAGAAAAAGAGAATTTTCGACAAATTTCTGACAAATACAAATCTGTCGAGAAAAGGAGTGTCGAAAAAAAAACATCAAAAATAATTTAATCCATCAAAAATTTCTGACAGATATATCCATCAGTAATTATTCGTCGAAAATTACTGACGGAATGGTATTGTTTAAAAATCTTTATGTGATTCCAACGGATAAATTCGTCAAAAAAAAATTTAATGTTAATAAATTTATTAATGTAACACCCCTCATATTTGACCTCTCAAAGACTCCATTTCCTAGAAGGTCATCTATCCCTAAATTACTCTAAGTCAAGCACACTTAACTATGGAGTTCTAATGAGATAAGCTACCGAAAAGTAGATGCATTTTGATAGTATAAGTTGTACAAATTAATTCATTTAAGTCATCCTCAACTATACAATCTCATGAAATACTATCTCTGGATCCCTCTCATTCTGGTGTGTCTGAACTATTATTAAAATATAATGATATATATAATAATTATATTAACCAATAATAATAATTATATTATATTTAATTAATCTTTATTTGTATATATACTTACTTTTATAATTAATAATCTAGTTATTTCTATTTAAAATTAATACTATGACAAAATTTTAAAAGTTTAAATAATAATTTATATATTTTAAAATATTAATTTTATAATTTATAACGATACTGTAATTTATAAAATTATAAATATTTATTATTACATACTTATAAAATGTATTTATCCTTGTTTTATTTTCTAATTATCAACCATTAATAAAATACTAATTTAAAATTTTACCTAATTATATCATAATATATGATATTTAAAATTTTATTGATATTTTTTAATATATGATTGTTAATTTTAATCATCTTTATTATTTTTTGTCGGTAAAATTCGTCTTTCTTGTAGTGGTTCTAACCCCATCATCTAATATATTGAAAATTATAAAATAAAAAATAAAATAAAAATAAAAAAGAATGAAACATGTTTTACTAATGTTGACAATTTGACCTATGCTCACTAAAAAGGTCACAACTTGAGACTAGACCTCATTTTTAAGTGATTTCAAGGCCATTGGAAAGCTAACATGCTACAACTTTTACGAAGACCTCAACAAATAATTCAATTAATATAGGGACTCCCAAAGCAATCACAATGGTGACAATTTTGTCACGCTTATGAGAGACTTCGTTTTGCTACTACACATATTTTTCGATCGTGACCACGCTCGTGACCGACTCTGTTATGAAACTTATAACATTTTCCAACTCAAACAATGCCAATCATAGTCATGACCACCGAGTCACACCCATTACGATCCTCAGACATGGAATTACGAACATGAACCCCTCAATAGATTCTCCAATAAGTTCCAAACCACCTCAAACTCATCTATAAGCCCCAAAATCAAAACAAAACTATCAAACTCACATGCATCCCATCAAAATGATTCTAAACAACTTATAAAACATGAAAAGCAATTCAAAGCAATTCAAATACAACATGCATGCCCGTAATAATGAGAGGTCAACGACTTTGGGTTTTGAGTTTACCTTCATAAGAAATTCCAATTTCACAACATAGAATTTATGTAAATCCAAAACTCAACCACATAATCACATGCAACTCAAAATATAACAACAATTTGAGTTATAGATTTCATTACCTCAACTCTAAGTTGACCGAGAGAGGAGTAGAGAAACAAGGGTGAAGAGAATGATAAAATAAATAAATTAATATAATCAAAATGTTTTTATTTTTTAAATTATTAATCTCTTAAAATATTAACTTTCATTATATTTTTCTTTTACCAAATAAATTTTATTTTTCATCTATTTCTTACCATTCATTCTCCCCTCTTTTCTTTTTTCCTCTATTTCTTTCCCCTTATAGAACACATCATTAGTAACCCAGTGAATTGGCATACTAGTTATTGGAGGTGGATTTATTTAATTGAGAATCTCTTATTTGATTCTAACCATGTGCAAAAACTTGTTAAGTTAAGTGACAATCACAATACTACAAGATTAATCTTTAATCCATTAGATTAGAAAAACTCATAGTAGGACAAAAAATAGCAATGTTAGGATTGGTTCGTAGGGTCTTCTTCGGTGATGTTACATGAGAATCGTAGTAGTTTTCATAATAAATAATTATGATAAAATTCATTTTAATTAATTTGTCTTAATAAATGACGATCACCCCATGGTAGATTTTTCAACCAATACCATAATAACATTTGAATGAATGTTAACAAAATTTATTGATGTACATAATAGTATTTGTAAGTCAATATTTACTTTATAATGTTCTAATAATGGATAAATAACTAATTAAGAATATTCATATTCTATTTATATAATAATTAATATTATATTCATCAAGCAGTAAACAACGAAGGAGTAAAGCTAGTTGACTACTTATATATAAGTCTGTGTGTTTTCTAATTAAAACGGAAGTGTAATGTTGATGATGACAAATTAAAGGGACAAGACAAAGACTTCAATAATACGTTGACCAAATTCAACTATTTATAAAACTATATAAAGCAGTGATAAGTTATTATGTTGTGGGGTTTTTGTTAATTATCACAATGATTCAAGCATATAGGAACTGTTGGCGATATAGTTTACAATTGGGGTCTTGGTACATTTCTTTTCGGCTTGGCTACTTTAGAGTTTTTTGGTATTGAAAGGTTTACTATATGTGATCCTAAACTCATGTTGGTGTCCATTTGGACTAATCCTATACTAGTAGACTTTGACTCTTATCAGTTTGAGTTTTGGGGAGTGATTGACTTGCAATATATTAAGGTTTTTACGGCCTCAATTGCGGTTGCTTTAGCCATTACTTATATTAATACATTAATAAATCTTTACAATTAAGCATCATAACATAAACACTTATAAATGTATTTATAAGTTACCAATCAACAAGATCTTTACGGTAGCAGGAAACAAATGCCCATCCTTTTAAGATATGAATTCATTCCTTACCAATTAGACCAACTTTTATTAGTTTCTTACTTGATTTACTTGTATTATTATTAGTTCGAGATTATAGTTCTTTTTCTTTCTTTATTTAAAAATAAAGTGATATTTTATTGTGATTTATGTTCAAAATACATATTAAAGATCAATTTTTAATTAAGAAATATAAGTACTAATCCACTTGTCTCAACATCTTTTAATCCTTTTATCGAGTTTTTGATTTTGATGTTAGAGAACAAACACATTAGAGAGTCTTAATTAAAATCAATTAAAACCTTTATCAAACTTTGTGCTCATTATCTTATATGATCAAGAGAGTCACACGTACGTGTTATTGAACCCAATAATTAGATGACCACCCATCCTAAGAGACCTCAATCTAACGGTCACAACTCTCTATCAAGTCTAAAAGAAAAACATGCTTATTGTCCATCTATTTATTCAAGCAAACTATAGCCCCTCAAATGATAAATTTGAAAGGTGTGGGAAATAAGTTCAGTATCCCTAAGTCACTGAATTTAAAAGACCTATAAGTTATATTGTTGTTTTATTTATATGGATTGTATAATGTTGGTTTATTAACTATAAAAGAATTTTTTTTTGTTTATTATTTGAGGATAATGGGTTTGAAGTGTGGATAAATATATATATTGGATTGTGTGTTGAGTGTATGAAATGTTAATGAATAATTTTTTTTCGAAATTGGACCATTTCTTCAAGTGGGTAATTTTTGTGTAATCACATCCATACTATTTCAAAATTATATGTTGATTTTGTATTAGTTGTTCCTAACAAGTTAATAAATAAAAATGGTTGTTGTTACACATTTAATTTGTTATAGCTTTTAGATAATTACAAAATTAGGAGTGATTTTATTATATTATTATTTTCTTGGTCTTCATCTCTTTTGGTTATACGTCATCTAGAAGGGAAACTTTTTTCTCAAGTTAAAGAAAATCATGTACATTCTTCTATAATTAATAAAAGTGGGGACACTACTCGTCTTGCCCCTATCACTCTACAAAGTTTCTCTCCAAGGAAAGGCAAACGCATTCATAAGTTTTTATCTAAAGGATTCTCTCTTAATTAAGGCCACAATGTTTTAGAATGTTTGAATCCCCAATAGGAAGGTGAATGTACATTGATCAACTACTAACTATATATATCTTTAAGTCAAAGTGGAGAATGTTTGAAGTATTTCCTTCTACGTTACTATAGCTAACTTAATTATTATTATGAAAATTTGCAGCTATTATTCATGAGAGGAACGTGCTACTTGTAAACTACACTGCTTCGATTTTATACAATAGTCATATAAATCTCCATAAAATAACGTTGTTGAATCTTCTTATAAACACATTCAACAATGGAGAGTTGTCTAAGCCACTTTAACAAAAAGGAAAACCACACACATTAAAATTTCCTGTGGGTTTGGCCATCAATCAGGTGAGCATTACATTTCTTTCTTTCCTTATTTCTTGATGTTTATCATATGCAATGTATGCCTAGCTCTAATTCATTTAGTTATGGTAATTTTTTTCGTGGTTTTGAAGAATTGTATCATTTTCTTGCATATGAAATCATTTTTCTTTGGCCAATTAATTGTACTTTACTTTCAAGTGGTTTGGTTCAAAAACACTTAACTGCATGCAATATGAAATTTGACGCTATAATGTACTCTTCTGTGAATTAATCCAAAAACATTTTTTTTACTTCTTTGTTGTGAAATTTGATGTTTTTACTCTCTATATTTTGCATGCTACCGCATAGACACCTTGATATATTCTTCATCCATTTAAGAGTAGCTAGACACACATTTAATGGGTAAACTTTTTATCCCATATGATTTAGTTTAAAAACACTTCCATGTGTTATATATATGTGTGTTAATAGTTTTCTAGTATTAGTAAAATAGAAACAAGATAAAGTGACATTTAATATGTTTTGTATAAACTTTTTAATAGAAATTTTTATATAGGTAAAAGAAATAAATTAAAAGTAAATTTATGAAGTATACTCAAACTCACAAACATCATCTTGTGGCTGGTTTTTGCACGGCCCCATAAATCAAGATACATGATTCTAAGACTACTATAACTAAGAAGAAGAAGAAAAATAGAGAAATCTTCCCGACCTTAAGAACTAAACCAATGCCCAACACCTCACTTAATTAAGTTTCAAAGACCAATCATCTCAAATATACTACTCACATAAAATGAAGGTTATTCTTTTAGTATATGTTATAACTAACATATTTCAATGTCTTTTATATCATTGTTCAATAATATATAGATATTTATATTTGTTTGTCACATCATTTAATAGTACTTGTTTTTTATATTAGAATTCTACCATCATATAAATGATTACAATAGTTCCAAGCTATCCTTCAACTAAACTCGATTTACTCATATATCAAGATATAATCATTGTAGTCAACACAACAAAGAACAGTATAAGTTTAATAAACAATAACAAAAGATATAATAATATAGAAATACATATAAAACTAAATATAGCATACAACTACGAGCCTCAAACTACCCAAAACAACATCATATCCTGCCATTGGGAATTCATGCACAATCAAAACACAATTCATCATCATATCCTACATCTTGTATACTATGTTAGATGTTTTATTTATCTGGCTGTTATTAATTGGTGTAATTTTATTTTATGAAAATGGGTTAAATGTTACTTGGCATATATTTTCCTAGTAAGCTAATTTTTATTATGTGAAAATTAATTTTGGATTTAGGAATCACTATGTAAGTATATATATAATTATTCGGTCAAGCCTAATAGGTAAGTGTGTTAAGTTTTTTATATGCAGTTTAATTAATTTAATATTTGTGATGGATAGATATTAAGTTGCGGTTTCAAAAATTGAAAGGACAAAATCCCACTAGACTCTTTAAGTTTATGACTATCATTTTTGCTTCATTCAAGAGACAGTTGTAGTAGAGAAGAGTCTGGTAGAAAAGTTATTTTTCACGAACACAAGTGAGTGCATAGACAATAACAGATTCACTATGAAGAAGTCTATAAGAGGTAAATGATTTATAGCAATTGATAAACATTGATATGATGTTCCAAATTCTAGTATTGATCCGATATATAATTTTAACATACTTAACATCAATGTGCCTACTTGCATTATGCAACATCACACACAATTAATGGAAATCTCCTATATGAGCAATCTACTCAAATCAACCCTATCAGATAGTAACTATCTTAGTAACTGAAGTATCATCAACATAAACCCAAAAGGTTCAATATCACCATTGGGATAGAACAATTGGGTATATATAAGCCTCCCATAACATTGGTTTGCAACAACCAAACTCACTATGTAATTAGCTCTCTCCTTAATTTCAAGATACCATGCATCATTCCAGCACTAGGTAAGGGTGCACTAAATGATCCACCCACGACTTACGTGTGAACTCAACATCAAGGTCCAAGGAACACAAACACAACCATTCAAAAGCTAGTATGTATGATGGAAATATGTCAAGGCTAAGAAATCCAAGAGGTGATACATTAAAGGAACCAAGAGGAATGGGATGATTTTGAAGACCTTTTTCTATGTTTGTAAATATAGTAGTTTCTTGTATAGATTTATTTTTGTCTTTGTATTTGTGAGGCACTTTATTTCATTTTATAGATCATTGTATATTATTTCTAGGGTAGGTTACTTGGAGACTTTGACTCCATTTAACCTAATTTTGAAGTACACTCTTTTTTTTTATTTTTTCAGTAGTAGAAGTGAGGTGGCATTTAGCAATGCTTGACGGTGTGACTAGTAATTGGGTCAGAATTGGGCCTAGGCAAAATTTTACATATTGGACTTATTTTGCTCCTAATTTTTCATAGGTTTGATCTAGCTAGGTCTCATCATTTTTGGATGGACCTAACTAGACCAAACCAAACATTTTTAGAATTAATTCAAGGAGCCAAAATGAGCCAAATCTGCCTAGCTAGCCTTGTTCCTCCTTGGCCAAAAATTGCTTCTCCTCCTACAAGCTTGGGAAAGAAACAATATGAATCATGAACATATGGTAAAATGATGACTTAATCACGCACAACTTTAGAAGACAACAAGGAGACTCAAAGTAGACATGACCGAATTTAAAGAGACAAAGATGTTACCCTTGAAGAACCAAGGCTCTAGATACCACATGATGGCATCCTTGCTTCCATTGAAGAAGGAATGTTGAACAATGGAAAGCGATGCTTGAACTCCTTGGATCAAAGTTCCTCGAGGGATGTTTTAATGGAGGAATGGGGCAAAAATGGAAGTGTTTGGAGGTTGGGTAGAAGGTGTTTGAGGAAATGCTTGAGGAGGGTACTCTAGGGTTGGCTCACTTCATGATGATGAAGGTCACTTCTAGGGTTGTTTCTCTCAAGGTGGAGATGGAAGGGAGGTGGCCGAATTAGCCAAGGGTAACTAAGGAATGATATAAAGGCACAAAGGCTCTCTATATATTCAACATCCAAAGTATTTACACATGGGCATGGCAAAAAGTAGGTAGAATACACGGTGGATATTCTTTTAAACAATGGTCTATTCAAAGAAGAATATGCGATAGTACAAAGAAGGAGATGAAATATGGTGACGTGTGGAAGCTGGAGGAACTGGTAAACAACAAAATCGGATTGGAATGACCGTCTGGATAGGTTTTGGACCTAAGATATTATCGGTTCTCGACCTTAGAAAAGGACTTCAACAACTTGAGTAGTACTTGTCACTACAAAAAAAATAACCTATGCCTACAGACACTTTTAACTATAGACCTGAATTAGTGTAGGTAAAACTATAAAAAGAAATTTACCTACAAATATTTAATGTAGGTATAACTCAAAAATCTATACCCACTTTTGTTTGGTGTAGGCAAAATTCAATATAACTTAAAATTCTTCTACCAACAAATTGTCAATGTAGGTAAAAACCTTCAAAGACTTATACCTACTACTACTTTAAGTAGGTAAAATATTTACAAAATTTATACCTACAGTTAATTAATATAAATAAAAATCCATGTAAAATAAATAAATAATTATATATAAGACTAATTAATTTCATAGAAAATCAATATCAATACAGAATATATAATTAAAATTAGAATTAAATAACCAATCTTTAAAAAATAATTAATTAATAAATTAAATAAAAATGTGATAGAAATGGAAAGTGTATCCTAAGAGGAGTTCCACTAAAAATGCTAAAAAGATTGTCTAAACTAAAATGACTAGACTCTCTAATGCTAAGGATAGGATCCTCCCCATGGTGAAGTCTAGGTGTATAACTAAAACCTAGAAAGGTAAAAAGATTAAATCTATAGCACACTAATGCATTAGTCCTAAAAACTAAAATATCTTGTTGGAGGTACCCAATGTAGTGACCTAGGTATGTATTGGAAAATATAGAAAATTTAACTAAAAAATTACCTAAACAACTTTTTATTGCATAATTTGTTAGATACATATGAGAAAAAAGTGTTAAGAGGAGTCTAGAAAACTCATATAATCTAAGTTTGTCTTGTAGGGAAGTAACCAAGTTAAGTTCAAATAAGTGTGAACTTCCTTGAAGATCAAAAATAGAAGATACAATACCATGAGATGTATCCAACAAACCATACAAACCAAAAGTTGGGTGCTTTATGAAAAGAACTAAAGTAGAAAGAGTCTTAAAGAAAGAAGGCTTATCTTCCTTGGGTACCACCAAGGAAGTAGCACAAGAAGTGGGACTAAGTGAAGTCCACTTCTTCTTCACTAAATCTTGAAGTTGAGATTCTTTTTCTTTAAAAAGGATTTGTTTTTGAATCTCCACTTCATGACTAGTGGCAACGTGAGAGAAAGTGATAAGGTCTTGATGAATTAAGAGAGTCTTTTTTAAATCATTTTCAATGGGAAAGTGACTCTCTTCAAGCATAAGCCCTTTGGAAGAAACATTATCCTCCTTACTCTTCTCTAAGAGTGTTGGTTGTTGTTTTTCTTGTTCTAACCACTCTTTAACCCTCTCTATACTTTTCTTCTTTTTTTCTTTCTTTTCTTTTTATTTTCTTCTAAGTTCTTCCTCTCTTTTTGTATTTTCTTCCTCATGCATACTCTTAGGAACTCTAACTTCTTTGGCTTTTTGAGATCTAGTTGGAACAATCCTAGGTTGGGATCCACTAGTTTCTACCAACTTTGCAAGTAAATTCCTTATTTCCTTATTATTCTTTGCATTTTCTTTTTCTCTTTTTCTAATGTCTTCCTCTCTCTTTATGTTTTCCTCTTCTTCTTTTCTTATGTACTCCTTCAATTCCCTAATCTCATCCCTAACACTAAGTCTATTACTATAGGAATTATGACCATGTATACTAGAGTGATCACTCATCTTTGATCAAGAAAAGGTTTTCACAATATGTTGTAAAAAGATTCGTACAAAAAGTTTT